AAAAAGCAAATTAAAAAAAAAAAAAAAAAAAAAAAAAAAAAAAAAAAGAGTTTATGAGCTTACGATGTTTGTTTCCGCTCTCTAACTCTTGGAGACTTTTAACACTAAGCAATTCAGTGGCAGACTCAAGAGCGGCTCCAAAGACGTTAACCCATTCATAGTCCCTAGTGGTGCCGCGCCACACCACATAGATTTCCCTTCGGCCGAGCGTTTTGGAGCGCTGATCCGATGTGACAGCGACGTAGCCTATCCAGTTGGACTCGCGGTCCCAGGCCTCTCGCGAGAGGGAGTGGAGGAGGAAGGCTTCAGGGACAGAGATCTTAGCCGTGCCGTACAAAAACGAAGCGACGTCGTAGTGGTCAGGGTCCTCTAGCATCACCTTCTGGAAGAAGGAGGCCTTGCCGTAGCGGCTGGTGCCGCAATAGAGGGAGTTTTTGTCGTTGTTGAAGGCGTCGTACGTCGTTTGGATGAGGTCGCCACACCCCAGGATTAGGGCTCGGAGGGATGGGTTCAGAGGCTCCAAGAGCCCTTCCCACTTGTTAAGGCCCAGGAGTTGGGCCCAACTGGGTTCGCTTGTGCTTTCTTCACTTGTGGCCATGGGATTCGGAGGTCAGTGTGCAACAATCTAAGGGATATGAGAAATAATGGACATGTTGGTGACATATATGGAACCACGTATGGTATGGATATGGTTGACCCACCATTGATGGAATAGTGTTAGGTTGCATGGCTATCAGATTTTCACACATAAGATATTTTGTTTTGATTAATAAAAATACAGAAGAAAAATATGTTTTTGATTTAAAAAGCAGGAGTGTTATTCATGAGTTTGGATAATATGAGAAAATCAATCCATCCAAACTAAATCAATTAAGTTGGTTTAATTTCTTTATTAGATCAAATTCGATCTAAATCAATTAAATTGGATCATAGTTTATATTTTATAAATATAATGATTCAAGAATCAAATAAATATTATATTGTAATACTATGATTTCATTAATAACACATAAGTATTATACTACATTAACATTCTAACAACAATACATTACGATAGTTTTTTTTAATGATCTTATCATTATAAAATATTAATATATTTTATATTATTATTTTAATAGTGATTCTACACTCACTTGTTAAGTTATTATGTGCTTATACCTAGCTAGATGCACGTCACATGTCCCTGGCCCTTTGACTTCGTCACTTATCGGCCAATTTCAAAGTTATTGTTCACTTTGTCTTAATTGAGTCATTAGACTACATACTAATATTTTCACTTAATATATTATTTCTATGTTGTCATTTAAGTTGAAAAAAGAATGCATGGATACTACTTGGATAATAATTGTTGATTGGTTTAGATGATACTTGGTAACATAGAAAAGTTTTGTTATATTTAATAATGAATTACGTTAATTTTAAATGCTAAAATATTTTAATTTCAAATGTTAAATTATGTTTAATAACTTTTGTTCTTACCGGAAATCTGCTGTAGAGATGATCCTCCGAGTAAGATTGGTGAGCCTCCTTCGCTGGTACGCTTGATGCTCCAAGATGGGGGTGATACCTGCAAAAGAGACTCCGATGCTAAAGTTAGGGTTTGTATGAGTATGAGTCTCGTATAAATAATGCACGTATCTTAGTGTGAGTTAGGGTTGCGTTGGGCCTAAGATAAGATATGATGTGATTAGATAACGGATCTCATCTGGGGCGAGATCCCCTGAGATCGGTTATGATCTATTTAAGTGCCGAGCTGACGTCGTGCCATGCGCGTCCGAGGTCATTCTCCGTTGCAATGCCGAGCTCGAGCTCGGCGTGGCAGTACGGATAGTACACTAGCCCCCCGAGCTCCGAAGACTGTAGGTCGAGGAGTTTAAGACCGAGCTCGTTAGGGAGCAGTGACCTTTCGCGCACGCCTGCTTGTTGAGGTGCCATGTGTCATAGCTAGTCATTTCCCGAAAACGTGCAGGTGGCACGTTTATGAGGATGACGGTTATGCAATGATGGTTTCCAATTAATGTGTCGTCAGATGTGTCATTTGGCTGACACGTGCCGTGACCGTTTTGAATTTGGGGAGAAACCCTTTTCTTTGTCTCTCCCGCGTCTCTTCTTATTCACTTTACTTTCTTCCACTCTTTGGCTTCTCGAGTACGATAGTTCTCTTTGCTTTCTTTCTTCCGTTCGTTCTCCGTCTCCATTTTCACAGTCCCCGTCATCGTTTTCAGTAACCCAGTCATTGTTAGGGTTATTTTCTGAGGAAGAGTACCAGGTACTTTCTTTCTGCAGTTTTCTTTTTCTTTCTTCCCCACTCTTCTTTGGGTCTTTCTTGTCGTCTTTATGGCTGGAGGGAGTGGTGCTGGT